TTTTAGTGGGTGTAGAGTAACTCATCTGTATGAATGTACGTGTGATATGATGTGATGTTTTAGTGGGTGTCGAGTAACTCATCTGTATGAATGTACATGTGATATGATGTGATGTTTTAGTTGGTGTCTTTTCAGGGTAAATTTGTCATTGTGTTAATCTTGTAAAAGGGAAGACATGACATTTATCGATTATCTACACACTGTGCATGAACTAAGGTAGCGCTAGCTCCTGGATCAACTGATAATTTTGTATAAATTCAACTCATGACATGTAAGCTCCACCATCTGTTCATACCCTGGGGCAGAACTGACATGCATGTGGGTCATAATGTGGTAATAGATGACTTGTATGCCTATGTACACATAAGAAAAGACTCAGGTATTACATGTAATTAAAATGTCCATGTATATTGTTGATATGGCAGTTGTCCTCAAAAGTGTTAGGATACAAAACATTTCTTTACTCTAAATTGTCTACCCTCAATAGAGTGAATACAAGTATATTATACGTAATAAGGCATGTCGCAAAATCTGCATGAGTATGCGATTACATTGTTTTGTGAGTTCAGCCTGTATGAAATTTCAATTAACTTCCTTTGTGCAATCAGTCTTCCAAAGCTGTAGTCTATTCAAAAATGGTCATTTGCTAATGACAGAATTATGGGCATATCATGCAATAAGATAAACTGATCAGGTATACATGTAGATCGAGGGATTGTGCAGATTGATTCTGTTCAGTGTTATCACATTTATATGAATGACTTCGTAAAAACTTCTCATAAATCTGCTGAGACATTTTCTCAATGTTCAAAAACAACCCTAGAGAAAACCTTTCAGCGATATGCTGCTCAATGCAACTTAAGCAACTCAATAACCAATCCATACTTCAACTTAACTTAAAAGTACTTCGACATACAGTGTAAAGTCTACTTGTATTGAAAACAGGGTCTATTATTTTTCAGCCAAAACATGCATTAGCACCCAGTGGAAGCAGGTTGTAACTGATTGTCTGTCCACTTAATTGGACACCAGCCAAGCAGAGATGACCTCTAAGATGCCGCTCACAAGCTGGAGTAAAAAGGGCAGTTGTCACATGTTCAAAGTTTCACTAAAGGGTATAAGAACCTACCCATATTCTCAGTTTGTGATTCTGTGCGTTTTCAGAGTACACTGTACCTCAGTCTGTTCATCGTAGAGAAATTAGATGTGGTGGGTTGATGCAAAAGTAAGTTTCACTTGAATTGCACTAGAAACAATGTTAGATGGGTGACCCTGCGGATTTTATGTCCAAAATGCCCCTTTGCTCTTCAACATCTGAATTACTCACTGGGTAAGTCTACCCTCACTTCAGTTCTCTTACACAGAAACATTGTTATGGCATAAATTGTACATTGGAATAATTACTAGATATCCCATGACATACATGTACGCTTGCCAACAATGAGAGGCAGGGATGCTCTTGTGTGTAACCTTCGATAATTTCCGTGCACAACACCTTGCCCTATTCTGAATGTAAACTTCCTCGGCCCATTTGTAATCTAACTGAAATGACTGTGCAGAAGGTCAAACTTGGAAGCTCCCAACCTTCTTGATCAGCCTGGCATTAACCTCCATGTCCAGATCTTACCGTGAGGGCACTATAGGTGGTTTGTAGAGAGTAATGTTCTGATCTGAACAAATCTTTTCTTTCAAATTTCTCGCGAAACAATTTATGTAAGATCATTTCAGATCACATGACCTACCTGCATAGTTGAATTCTTAACAGCCAGTCTTCTCAATATCAAGTCAAACAGAGTTAAGAACTGTATGGATCGCAGAGCTATAGCTCTATGGTATGAATGATGGGATCATTTTATGATAAGTCATGCGACATACATGTATATCGAGATGACATGGATTGTAACTTTTCCATTGCTTCATTTCAATTTCTGGCTATTATGCAACAGTTTCATTCCATGATTTTTTCAAAACCTTTTTAAACCAAAGCAGCTTCGTGGTTGTGGTCTTCTCTTGTTTTTCATTGTTCAATTTAATTTCAAGTTGCAGTGATGCATACATTTTTCTTTTTTCAACTGGGCCAAAATCATAATTAGCCTTAATTTCAGTAATTGATCTATGAACAAACTTTCTCTTTCTACTTGTATTTCTGGAAACAAGTCATAAAAAAACATTGCCAAGATCCGCACCTGTTGGCAACAGAAAATCTCAAAATGCAAGGTGCACACTTTTTTTTTTTACAATAGTTAACGAAAGTCAATCAAAGTTGTCGTTTAGTGTCTGTATCAGATGTTCAACTCTGATCACGAGTGAAAATCAATTATTTTTGTTTTCTAGACAATTTAAACAGGTTCATTTTGCATTTAATGGAGGCCTAGGCCTGTAAAGTGAAATGTTATGCTCTACTGACTTTTTTAAAATGTGTCTTTTTCTATGCACTCAAGCTCAATTTTTTGAAATTTCAAGTGAAGCCAACATTTAATTCATTGAAATAAGGCACGAATAAGATCAAAGATTTTATGAAAATGTGAATTTTAAGCCTTTTCAGTAAAAATCCACTTAGCCTGAGTCATTTTTGTGCCCACAAAAATCAGTTTGCTCTGCATGTACAAAATATTCCCCAAATATCTCAAAATATCTGTACTTTAAAACAGTATTTCTTGGCTTTGAAATGAAATTGGGAAAAATGAAATCCTCTCCAAGATCACGTCAAAAAGAAAGCAGAAAAAATAGTTGAGGAAAACTGAGCCTCCCTACGGTAGGCTAGTTTGTACCTTGGCCAAGGCCCACTTCACAGTCACTCACACAGCTTCGACTTGATTACTAGGCCTAGGATTTTTCTATTGACCTACCTTTTGGGGCTTTTGTGTTCTGCTTCAAGAACTTGGTTACTTCAGTACTCAGCAACACGTGCTGATTCATGTGGTTTGCAAGCACTTGAGCGTGTGTAGCGTGGAGGTGATGGTGCGTACCATGTCCATGGGACGGACCCGAATGACCGCCTTGACTTGCCATGTTTCGACTTTCTAGGTCCAATTACAATTTTTTGGCCACATATTTATACTAGTTTCGAAAATTTTGCATCTAGGCTTACATGAAGTTTGCTGTCTTTGAAAATTCACAGAAACGGAGCACCGACTTCTGCCGTGCCATGTCCGTGAAATAATAGAGTCCCGAATGTGACGTCACTGTGAACCAGAAAGTGCTAGTGCAGTGCAAACGAATGGAGTACACGCGTGTGTTGGTTCACGCGCTGGTGGTTCGACGTTCATTCGCTCATGCCTTTTACACACCAATTGTGCGCGTGACGTATTCACTTCGGTACTCTATTGCCTCAAGAATTTGTTTTTTTGTCTGCACGTCCGGTCCCCTATTTTTCTTTAGGACTTAGGTATTGTGGTGGCTCAAGGGAGCCTTACTGATTTCGCAGAAGTAACCGACTGCGCTTGCGTCGTATCCAACAAAGTTTTATCACGTGACTAAAAGTTCACTTTTCGCAAAGGACTCTGGGAGGACAACAAGCGTGTCATAGCAACAAGCAGACGTACAAAATCATTCCCAGGTAAAGCTTACAGCTATTACAATTTTATTTTACACACAAAAATCAGAGAGATATGCCCTCCATTCTACCTCCCAAATATTTCGTTTCCTTCACCAGTAATCTTACATTTGTGTTGTTATAAATTCTAACTTTGAGACTCACGTTAGTAGACGAAAACACAATTTATATGTAAACATCACAAAAGAAACACAAGATCCATACTTAGTGAAAACATAACTACAATTATGTGCACAAGGTGAGTACATCATATTTTACTAATAACAAATCAAAGGTCTATTAATAAGGCTGAACAAATAAAAATGATAATGTCAACGCTACTCGCCATACCCCTTAATTAAATCCTAAAGTACCTGTATAAAATATTAGTGGTCACGTACACGAACACCATTTACAATCAAGTGAGTACTATGCACTTCATGCATGGGACTGAACCTTAAAGATTTCCCTCTCGTTTCCATGGCACTGCTTCGCTTTAGCAAGCCAGCTGTACCATGGACTTTTTATGATGCCCACTGATGTTACAAAGATTAATGTGCTGTCTGCAGACTACGGGGTTTACTCACAACTCAACTTGAGTGACAGAAAGGGGAAATGACTGGATATCAAATAAGGTGTTCCTTTATTTTAAGCCCAACTTTAATGACAAGATTTGTGTTGTTTACCGTGACAAAAACATAAGGGAAGACAAGAAAAGGATAATTAAATCAAGATCTGACTGGTACAACCGACCAAGTAAAGCTAAAGGTTCCAGTCAATGACACTTTCAGTGCACACGACCTTTTCATGACAATAGGCTAGCTGTCAAAAATATTAACTTTAACTGATGAATCTTCGGGTAAATTAGAAAATCAGCATGAATCCTGCAAAATCCAATATCTACATGTCTACTTAGAATCTTAACTGTTTGTTAATTAAATACATGTATCACTCACTTAGAACCGTCAATGTTATAATATACGTTAATTTTATTAGTTACAAATTAAACAAATTTACCACTTCGAGTTTGTCTAGCCAGACATATAATTATTAGTTCTGTTCTCGGAACCCGTTAGTCCTTGATAGGTCGAGCCCATCTCGTGGACGTTTAGCAAGCTCTAGAATTGCAGGAAACAGCAAGGGTTCATTCAGTCGTTCATTTCACGACAGCCCACTGCACTGACGCAGAGACGGACCCTTACTGGCTGTCCTCCAGTCAGGCTGGATGGCACTCTTGCTGGCCTGATTTTGATGATCCTGGCGTGTTAGTCTGTTGCCTCCTTTAACTAACTAGTTGACCATCGAAATAAAACACTTATTTAATTAATTAACTATCTGGACTACACGAGGAAAAAACATATTCATAGTTCACTCAAAAAGTTATATTTCCACTATTTTACGCGACAGTGTAGAGACCTTCATTACTCGTTTGCAATTAAACAACCGCTTTTCAAACCATGATTGTCCTAAAGGCATTATTATTTAAATTAAGGGTCAAAAAATCTCTTATCAAATAATTTGAGCTCCTACTGTACGTGTACTGCACCAAATTTGTATTTTCTCATTCCGATGATTGTAATACTTGGCTTATCGTGCTTTTGTGTCATTGTGTGCTTTTTTCGTATTTCCTCTCCGTTTTGTTTTAATCTGTATTTAGGGGGATCTGTCCTTGACATTCTTCACTGTATAGGGATATTATTCTGAATCCTGGTGCAAACGTAACTTGAACTGGAAAACGAATGGAGATATCTACATTTATGTAAACCACAATTCAAGAGATGTCGTAAAAATAATACAGAATGGATATATGAATAAAATACATTATTCTTTACGTCTCTGTAACTAAATACATAACATGGTTAAGTCAAAATATATAGATTTGTTCTACCGACAGGAGTGCGCTTATATTTCACTTTCTCAACAAAAATAACACTAATTCAGTGAACAACAAAAGATCTCGCCCAGAGGCAATGCTACAGATAATCCTTCATACTAAATGCAGATTTTCCTTCAATAGAGGTATTTCTACCTTTACCGGATTGGCCGACCAACGTAACAACTTGTCAAAGTAACTGTTGGTGACAATTCTCCGCCGGGCCGAAAACATTTGGGAAACATAAAAAAAGCCTTAATTACTCGCAGTCCAAAAATCCTTGCTTTTATTTCATGGTGTTGTTATCTATGGGTCTTGGTGCTGATAAATAATTATACCGATTACTTTCTTACCTATGAAGTGTTCCGTTTGTAAAGAAAAAAATCAGTCAGGGCTGCCCCCCCCCCCTGCGTTGAAAAATTGTCAGAATAGAGGAATGTCATTTGAAAAATGGCAGCTCAGAAGACTTTGGAACATTCACATTTGGGGGTGAGTTTGTTTTGGGCGGATAAATAAAACTTTAATTGGTTAACCTACTAAAATTTGAAAATCAAATGAAATCTGGAGGACCAAACAACACATTGCTTTTTGTTTAAGAGGCCTCAGAGACTTCGGTTATCTGCAATAGGGCCCCAAACTCTGTTCATTTAACACTATTTCAATGGAGCTTGAACTGCAGTGCACCAAAGTGATCAGCGAAAACCATTCATATGGTGACCTTTGACATTTGGGTGCATAGATTACGTTTATGATTCTAGGTTGCCTACAACATGATTCTAGGTTGTCTACAGAATCACGAATAAAACAGCTTTGAAAAACGGGACAGTGTCCAGATCAATTTGAAGTTGATATGCACCAAAATGACAAAGCTCACCATGTGAAGGGTTTCACATTAAAGGTATACTTTTGTGAGCTAGGTGACAAAACGTCCTTGAGCACGTGCTTGGCTCAATGACTCATTCTCAGGGCCAGCCGTAGATGCTAAGGTGTTCATGCCAACGACAGTCAGTTGAGTTTCGTTTTCCAGCTCCACCTGATTCTTCAAACAAGGACAAAGTGTGGCCCTCATTGCTCTTCTGAACTTCTTCAATTTGATGGCGTAAATCATCGGATTTACCACCGAGTTCATGACTGTCAGGGTTCTAAAGATCTCCCATATGCCCAGGCGTGCGTCCACGGGTACGTCGAAGAACAGCAAGACGTTTCCGAGCTCAGACGGAAGCAAGAGCAGAATAAAGAACGTGGTAATGATTAGGAGACTATGGACAACTCGGCGGCTAGCCTCTCCCATCTCAGCTCCCATCACGCCCGGGTTTACTGCTCCCTGTCGAAGGGTCTTGATGATTTTGTAGTAGGCCCACACTAAGAATATCAGTGGAACCACAAAGCTGACTGAAAAGGACTTGAAAAACATCAACTTGGCGAACCAGGCTGGGCCAAGACCCGGATAGGTACACTCGCCTTCCTTGTTCACGTAGTACCTGATCGGAAACTCTATCTCTAGGAGATATGCAAGAGTCCAGGCTGCCCCAGCAAGCATCAAGCCCCGTCGCACCGTGAAGGACCGGGCGTATCTCATCGGGTGAACGATGGCAAAATACCTCTCGAAGGTCACCACTACCAGGTTGAAAGCCGAAGCAAAAAAAGAGGACCAGAAGAGATGGAGACTCCAAAACAACCTGCAGAAAATCTCCCCAAAGAACCCTTGTGTGATGTGGACTCGGACTGGGTGACCTTCGATCACGCACAGTATGGAAATGATAAAGAAGGCGCAGCAAAGGAAATCAGACATGGCCAAACTCACGATGAGGTAGTGGGTGATGTCATGAAAAATCTTTGTCTTGCTCACGGTCAGACAGACTATGGCGTTACCCATTAACCCGAGGATGCCGAGAAGAAGGTTGGCCACAACTGATAAGATGTTGATGTTGTAGTCATTGACTAAACTTTGTTGGTCATCAGAGATATTAGTTGATGATGTAACTGATGTGTTGATGCTGGCTGAAGCTGTTGTAATTTCCATGATTTCCAGTCAGAAGCAAACATACACCTGAGCTCAATAACAGCGTCCTTACAATCTGTTAAATAGTGCAAAATGAGAATGACACCACGCTGTAAACACAAGTCAGTCCTGATTTTGTGTGCAAAACCTATCGTCAAACTTACTACTTTGCCAATGAGAAGCATATTTTGACTAATAAATTTGCGACTTGGACTACAACCTAGCAATCTGACTGAGTCGAAATTGACCAAGCGTAATAAGTCGCAAAAGTGTAATGTTGACATCTTTCCGTTGTCCTTTGACAGATAAACGATATTACCTTGTGGTCAACCGTTGGGAAATGCATACTTTGTAATTTTGAAAGAATCTTTCGAACTAGGATAACTAATCCGTCTATTCAAATGACTTGCCCAAAGACACATTTCTCAATGCGCAAAACTGCCGTGAGCGGAGCGAACTTGCTATATCACGTTGATTGGTCATCACGCGTCACAGAACTCTTGTACATTTCTGAGTACAGTAGTATTGCCTTTCTTTGCTTTGATTTGCTTTTATTACTATTTTATTCAGCATTACAATAAAACACACACCATAATACAAAAAGTACAAATAGCTGAAAACAGACTAAAGAAGTGGCACTGTATGCTGTTTTGCTTTGCTTTGCCTTTGAATTTGGTTTGACTTGACATTACAAATGTTTCTGACGATTCTGTCTCGTAACCAGCTGTAAATTCTACAAGTAAAACACTTCATGCAAAAGCAAAATATCGGAGAGCAACTTTTGTTTTCTCTTGACGAACAATGCGGAAAAGTAACCCCAAATGTCACTACCTGCTAAACCAGCACACTGCATATATTTAGATGTAGATTCATTAGTGTGTACGAAAGGGGCAAGTCCTATCAAGGACCACTAGTGGTTGGTCCGTGACTTTCCTAGCGCATGCGCAGTGAAGTTGAAGTGTGAAAGACCCTAATCAGAGGTTGTCAGGTGATTAGGCAGAAGGGGAGAAACGGTGGCCGCATCAGGAAGGGCAAAATAGCAAAAATAAAAGTGAAAATGGTCGTTTACTAGTGACATATTGTTTTTCCGGCATTTTTCTAACTGGTCCTCTCCGCACTGTGCTATTAAAAACGGTTTGTGACAACCAACGATGCCACCAACCTTGACAGGCTGGTCGCGAATAGTTGAATATACCGTAGTCCAATTATGGTTGATAGGCGCCTTTCTATAGGCCCCTATGTACGTTCTTGATCATTCCACTTCACAAATTGGTTACAACTTTGGGAGGGCATACCCACGCGCGGCGCGCCAATGGATAGACCAACCCTATTTATTTTCTTCTGTTTTGTTAACAGCATTTACGTCAAAGATACTAATCAACTTGATGAAAAATCATTGACAGTAATCTCCACGTTGCATCTGTTACAATTAGGCCTGAGCAGTATAGCAAAAACTGTGCTAGGATCTACAACTTCCTCAAAGACATTTGTAGAAGAAAAAAAAAACTTTTCAGGAAAATTTACAAATGTATTGATAAGCTGGAACTCCCTAAGAATAGATTTGATTTTAATATACATTATTTTCTAATAAACAATATGTCGTGCCGGTGCCTGTCGGTAATGCAGATGACGAATTCCTGTCCAGACTACACTTTTATAGCGTATCACTCGCGGAGTGATATCCCACAATCAAGAACTTAATTTCGTTCCAATTCGTCACTCAACCGAACGAAATTACATTTTGTGGGGTGCGTTGCGTACACAATGCGTTCACGTGTTTCACTTTTACGGGCACAAAAATCGACCCTATTTACATAACAAAAGTGTGCGTTGCGTGGTCCAGCCGTTAAAATCGCTTGCGGTGTGTCGCGTAACTTGGCACAAATGTTGACGTGCATGAAGAAAAGTGCCTTATGTCAAACTTTGGTTAACTATGGTCCTTGATCGAAAGTGCCCTATGTTTCAGCAAGATATTTTCAACTGCCCGTGTCCGATTTTGAGGGTACTTTGCATATGTAATGAGGGCTATGTAAATACGTGTCATGCAAGCAGTTGTCTCAGTTCATAAAATAAACGTCTGTTTCATTAATTGGACATAGCGATATTAGACAAACATATTTTCTGGTAAGATTAAGCCCATTCCAAACGTTCCCTGTAAAAATAAAATATAGAAATGGTAACACTGTGGATGATAAGTGTTTTTTTTTTCGTCCAAAGCTATTTCTTGAACAGTATAGTTTGTTTATGTATTTGCACGAGTTTTGAAGACAAACAATTCAAAGTTTTCCTGAAAGTGGGCTGTGGTAAAACTGGTGCGAATGTTTCAGATACATTCAAAGTTTTCGCAACTTTTTTGTTTGTTTTTTTATTAATCCCGACTGGGAGCGTTTGCATATCGGCCAAAAATCAAGAGGGATTTGGCCGTAATGTGTAACTTTCTGAATAATAATAGTCAATTGTAATGGACGTTCGCTTTGTACCAAGTAATATTTCATAACCTTTTTTCAAGATAAACGCAGATCACGTGACATGAATTTGTACACGTCAAGGACTGACGCACTCATCCATCTGACTGGCTTGGCATTTGGAGAATATGTTGTACATCAACCCAAGGGCTATCAACATAAAATCGTCACACTAACGTCATCAGGGGTCACGTGACATTAGATTAAAGTCGCAGTTTTCACGTGACACGAATTCAGAGGTGCAAATCTCCATAGGTTTTATGCACGTGTTTATAAAGTCAAAGACTGGCGGACTCATCCATTTAACTGACTTCATATTGGCAGCATTTGTAGCATCAACCCAAGGAGCTGTCAAAATAAAATCGTCACGGTGACGTCATCGGGGTCCCATGACATGAGATGAAAGTTGCAGTTTTATCCTTAGGTTTCGTACACGTTTTTCTACTACGCACTGTTATCGATCTTAATTAGATATAGTCTTGAACTTCGGCTGATGATAACTATGAGAATGCAAGAGAAATCGTATAAAATGTTTGCTTTTGTTGATGACAAATATACCCAAGAATCGAAATATCAATTAATGTTTTATAAATATTTTCCAGTTCAAAAGCAAATCACGTGACAGGAATTTAAAGGTGCAGTTTGTTTTTCTCCGTAGGTTTTGGGGACGTTATTATGATGTCCAAGACTCAGGTACTCTTCCATCTGACATACTTCGTATTTCGTGGCTATTTATTCCATGAGCCCGAGGGGTGTGACGAAATTAGTCACTGTGATGTCATGAATTTAAATGTGAAATTTCTCTACATACGTTCTAGGCACGTTTTTCTAATTTCACAGACTAGTTAGCACTCATCATTTGACAGACTTCTTATTAGGTACATAATTAGTGTATCGTCACAGTGACGTCATCAGGTATCACGTGACATGACATTTAAATATATCTTCTGAAGTACATGTCCGATTGATTTGAAACGTCCACATAGCTATTAACATGATACAGATTATGTAAAATTTACTTTTTGCACAAATTACACAGCTCATAATCATAAACAAATATCTGTTAATTAAACAACTCGAAATTCGAAACAACTCTGTAGCTGTTGGTGTAACAACCAGTACATCTAGTTTGATTTGTTTTCATTATATAAATTTCACAGTCATAAGGCACCTGTCTTCAAAGATGTTTATACACTATTTTGCCTATGACTGAAAGTATGTGACTGCGCAACTACCGCACCAACAAACATCCCATATTCAGTCATTCATGAAGTGCGTAGGGTTTTTAAAAAGTTGTTACCTGTTTAATAGTGAACTTATTTAATTGAAAACTAGGTAAAAATTCATTCAAAGTACACGTATATTGCTATATGCTTTGCATGATGATGATATCGTTGTAAATCCTAAAGGTTTTTATGAAAGTTACTCCAGACACAGGGCTTGAGTAAAAATAACTAATTTATTTTTACAACGCAGGGATTTGTGCAAATAATTCAACGAAACGTTCTTGTAGGGGCAAGTGATTAAGGAATAATTTAACTGTAGTCAGCACAGAAATGACTGATTGGCAAGGAATAGTTCCTGCACTGCCTTCAGCTTGTTTGCCAAACTGTTCAAGAATCGAAACGTCCCTGCAGTGCCAACACCTAGAACTAACTTACACGCAGGCGCGCGAAGCTGGAGTTTTGGTTGCCTGTTGAAAAATAAATTGCCCCAGTCGAGAAATATTTAAATATGAGGCTATGTTGACAATGGTAAGATATTGATAATCATCATTCACTTTTGTAAACAGCTTTCAGTGCTTCATTGTGTTATTTCACCATCTTGACTGTAATGGATGTTCACTTTTACGGTTTTATATTTTGTTATTTTGTTGATATTCATTTGCCGTCCCAAGCTTCCCCAAATCAGCATTCGAATTTTGCTGTTAACTTGAAAATTTCTACTCTAAGCTACACTACTGATTGCATGCAATGTTGCAAAGCGCAGATCCAGGAAATCAGTCGTCAAACATTAACAACTGGTGTTTAAAACGTTTTTGGTGCACAAACAATCAAAAGATTTGCACGTACAATGTTGCTTTATGTGAACCTACAGGGGTGCATGTACAAACATGTACCTACCTTCCCATCAGGGGGAAGACAACTATTCGAAATTATGCACAGAAAACTATCAGTGAAACGTCAAAGATACAAAGAGCTCTGAATGAATTTTTCCATAAGTTATCAGGAAAATCCTTCAGGAGTCTTTAATAAATTATGTCTCTCAGAATAAGTTGAACATCATCCATTAGTGTCAGGCTTACTCTGGGTTCCTTACCTGTATTGCACTTCGTTTTGGAGCTCGACAGAAGACAATCACTGTCGACGTTATTTCTCAGCTGTCATTCGCGCGCAGCTTCTGATTCTAGAGGTCTCCTTCTTTATAGCCAGGGACACCAGTGTCCAGTGGATGGAGTCGAATGTGATTGGCTGACTTCCATTCATCCTAAGCAAGATTTACATTTTTACAGTTAATTTAATTGTGCATTTTGTAGTTTGTTTGTGCAGCGCCCTCCCTGGGTTGAGCTGACGACCCCCTCTATCGCGATTGTTTTCTGCCCCCCCCCCTTTTGAACACAACACACTGGGATAACGAGACTTCAATAAAGGATATAACAGTGGCAATCGTTAACAGTGAACGCTTCCACTAGGCACGAAGACAAGCCTTCCTCTCAATATTTGGCAATAAAACCGTTTTTCCAGAAAGTAGTGGTGTATTCTCTGACTGTTTTTGTGTGAATAAAAAGCAAAAATTACATCTCCCGTTGACTGCAATTTTTCGTGTAAAGATCATGTTTACTGGTGTTGGTCATGACGTTTACTTTTGAGCAAGAAATATGCCTTGCCCAAATTGCCTGGCTGCGGCGGGAGATAACGCATTAGTCTATGGGAAACGGATAAAGCCGCTAGCGGACGGCTGAGCCGTACCCAAAGTATGTAAAACAGGCTAGAGGTTCGTGGGCATAAACAGCCATTATATTAATGGGCCATGTCATCCCCGCTCTGACATTACAAAAAACAAAAGAATGAAATGGCAATTGCAATGCATGTTTGCAAGTCCTCAAAAATTGAACGTAAAAATCTGAGGGGCCCAACCACCCCCCTTTGAATATTGCCTTTATCCGCCCCACGTGAAGCCACATTTTGATTTTAAAATTATATTTCAAAGTTAAAAATTCTCAGACTCTTATTTCTCAAAATCCATTATAAAACATTTTACTATTAAACTTTCCACAGGAGGATGTTTGTATAAGACTTCAAACTTTGAAGTTTTGAACTTCGGGAAAGGTTAACCTTGCAGGTTTTCCTCTGCAGACTTGGACATAATAAAACAAAGATAAATTGAATTCTCCTGTTTGAAGGAGTTCCTGATTTAGTAAAAACTAAATAAAGTTCTTTACCATGTCTCTCGGGGACTGATTGACATTTATTTCATTTCTAAAGTTCCAATTGTATAAACGTATTCAGAAGTAAACATCAAATCAATATTATAAGCAAACACTGGCAAATCTTATTGAAAGAGCGACAAGACTACACAGAACAGTCCAACTAAACTAAAATACAAATGGTTCAGACAAACTAAATTGCAAAAAGCAGAACTAGGACTCTTCATGAAGTTGATTACAAAGGTACACCGTGATCGCAAATCATTTGTATTTCTTTTTAAATGTTGTGGCAAGGAGTTCCAAAAAGTCGGTCGGGCAATAAAAAAATGCCCTCATTCAGTAATAAGGTCAAAGGAAATTGCATCTTGACTACACAAGCTGTAAACAGATTCAAGTCCTTACAATGAAGAGCGATGAAAGGAGCCTGTTCTGTATTTCAAGCAGTAGTTTTAATCAGAAAGGCCATTGAGTGCCAGCAATTTTGTTTTGATTGGGAAGTAGCCAGAGACAATATCAAGTTGTGATCATCATTGCATTTGCCTGCTGACCCACGGTACCACGGCTTGATTGCGGTACCGCGTCCTTCGCCCCATGAGAATAAAAACCCATCATGGATTTTTGTCATATAGAACCCCCCCCAAAAAAAGAGACGCAATTATTTTATTCTCATTATATGCCCATATTTCTAGAACTATCTCGTCCTTTTCTAGAACTGCTGAAGGATATAATGAAAGAGTTGAAATTTCTATTCAAAGGGAACTTGGGGCACGCCTGATTTTTTATAATATGAAAAAATCTTTTGCCCATTTATTTATTTATTTAATTTTTATAATTTCCTGCCGGAGAAATTAATATTGCCATTTTTTTTTGCAAACTCGGTCAACATAAATGTTTTGAATTCTCTAGTTTGAAGAAGTTCCTGAATCAATTCTAACAATACAGTGCTCCTTAAAACAAACCAGAGTTCTTTTTAATGTCTGTCGAGAGTCGAGCGTTTGAACCTGACGTTCCTGGTTTGATATTTCTACCAAATGTCCCTTGAATAAAGGATATAACAGTGGCAATCGTTAACAGTGAACGCTTCCACTAGGCACGAAGACAAGCCTTCCTCTCAATATTTGACAACAAAACCGTTTTTCCAGAAAGTAGTGGTGTATTCTCCGACTGTTTTTGTGTGAATAAAAAGCAAAAATTACATCTCCCGTTGACTGCAATTTTCCGTGTAAAAATCATGATATTTACAAGTGTTGGTCATGGCGTTTACTTTTGAGCAAGAAATATGCCTTGCCCGAATTGCCTGGCTGCGGCGGGATAATGCACGAGTTTAGGGGAAACGGATAAAGCCGCTAGCGGACGGCTTAGCCGTACCCAAGTATGTAACACCGGCTTGAGGTTAGTCGGCATAACAACCATTATATTAATGGGCTGTGGGCAATTGGCAATGCCATTGTAATAACTTTCATGCGGCCCCTTTCATGCATCACTAGCGAAATGAAAAAGGTTTGCAGCAGTGTGCCAATATACATGTACGTCAATGAGATGAATAATTGTTTAAAAAGATCCGCGGATCCTGGGGGATGTTACCCCCGCTCTGACATTAAAAAGACTTATTTTGTGTAAAATACCTCCTTTTTAGTAAATTCCAAATATCAGTGTCGTAAAATTTCTTGTGGGGATGGGCCTACCGTTTCAGGACCCAAAAGGACAAGAATGTTCCTTATACTGGGTACATCCTATTGTTCTGATACCCCACAAGGAACCATAAACGCGCGCAATAAGACGCGGGCCTATACTTGTCATTGCGTTCTGGCCGCCTGTTAGGGCTTGATTACCTTCCTTCGCCGCAAGAGAAAAAACACTCACAATAGTTTTTGTCACGGAACCATGAAATATACCACGCATTTATCTAACGCCTCTTAGGAAGGTCTCCACGTTTAAAATGTATCAATAAAACTGAGACAGCAATTACGTTAACTTGTCTCTCAGTGGGTTATCAAGGTGTCCGGTCAGGGGGACACAATGGAATTTTCCCCCTAAAACGACCAAATTCTCTCATCCGTAATATGACACTGACCCTCCCCTTTCAAAGTTGATTGTACATTTAGTGCTGAGATTTTCGATTTCTGAGCAATTTAGTAAACTGGCAATGTGTCACGAGGGGCAACTTTCCTCCCCGCTCCCATTGGATTCATCAATGTCATTGCTCCCGCATGAGGAATATTTGGAAGCAAATTGGAGTATACTATTTGTTATGCAAAAATGCAGGTGATAAAGAGAAAAGTAATTGGATATGCAGTACTCACCGTAGTTGCTACCAAATGTTAGCACTAGTAGGTGCCCAGTACATCAAAATTCACAAAAATATTTTCCAAACATAACATGTATTTCGCCACTAATCCCCCAACACCATTAACACCCGACTGTCGTAACTGTTAACGCTGCAGCCCTCTACCACCTATGATTGATTGACAAACAAAACTATTAATAATTAATATCATTCAATTAACACTCACTTGAGAGAAACCAAAACACACGTCGAGTCAATTAAAATGTACACATTTTGCATTAATATGCTTAAATAAAGTCAACAGGGAATACCGCTAATTTGCCAACCATTTTCTAGGGAAGCACATAACAGTAATTTACATTGGATCCGTATGAAGACAACAGAGCGAGGAATGGGACTGGACGGAATAATTACTATTCGGACATTAAAAATGAGCACAACCTGAATTCTCCACCCAATTTACAACAGTGTATTACCGATGGAGCTTGGCCTTCTAGTTAGTAATACTATGGAGGAATAAAAACACATGTGGGCTGTGATAAGAAAAATATGGTAAACTTGGAAGATTGTAACGTTAATAATGCACACTTCCAAAGGAATCTGGCCAAACATCAATACAAAAATCATTTTGGTGGTTTCATGTGAATAAGATTGAAGGTTAACGATGAAACCATACAGATAAGAATGACCAGAATTTTCTGATAAGCAATCCATTTTCATCTACACATATTGTATATACTCTAGCTCAATGCTTATGGCATACTTTCTGTGCTACTCAAGTACGTACTGTGTGACATCCGATGGAAGCAATACTGGAATACGACACATATCATGTCATGTGCCATACCAATGCATTGTACTGTACTGCATTTGGAATACATTTGCATACACACAAATTGAATAAGCCAGAGGGAATACACAAGTACTCTGGTTCAGTAAGTCAAGTTCACAAAACATATTTGTGGAGCCCCTCAGTTGCACTAGATTTGTACACTTCACTTGGAATGAACTTGAAACTTTGGGGAAAAAATCCAGTGGGGAAAAACTAGATTCGAACTCCATCTCTAGGAAAGAGCTCTCAACAATGCTAATTAAATTACAACTAGGATATAATTCTGAAGTTGGAGGGTAAGTAGATTATACATCCTCATCCACTGAACATAAAGAAAAGAGGAAAAAGGACCCTGATGGACCAAACAGAGTGATGCAATATAGAATGAAGAGAACCACACAGTAAGTGAGGCACTTACATGTAACTGAAAACAGCGAATGGAAGGACACAGCTAGAAAACACAATTGGGTGAAGAGTCCAATAAGAATTGAGTGCAGCACAACTCTTGTATCGTTGTTGTCGAGTCATCAATAAAAATTAAGGTGAAATATGGGCTGGACCTTGGAACAGATATTACTGCCCATTGTCAAAAAGGACAATGAAATTGGTTTAGAACAGGAAGTTGGGGGGAAATTGGAGACCAGCACTGTCAGTTCTAATCACAGAGGGACAAAATTTTGTAACTGCACCATGCTTTGCTTATTAATTCCTCGAGGAACATTTGCCTTTAACTTGCCCCCCAAATTCATGTAATTTAAAATATGGAGGGGGGTGCTGTACATTTTCGGTTTCCATTTAAAGAATATCTTTACACTTGTGCCAGTTTTCAGAAGTAAAAACTCCAGGTTTAGGAAGGCACATATTTTATGAGAGATATCAACAAAATACAAATACAGATGCATTTCCTATTCCAAATATCAGAAAACTTCACAAAGACTATGAACCGTATTTGCTTTTGGGAACCAATTAGCTGATTCAGTCATAAGAAATAAATCAAACTAATTCAATATGTTGTACAAAAATTATTTCAAACAATGCAATTGTAAAACTATTAAAATGGTGACAAATATTCATCCATGGACGGAATGCATCAATTCTTTAAATAAAATCCTCAATTTGGCTGGAATATGGTGGAGCACTTGCTCACAGAGAATGGAAGAAGAGGTAGGCACTAGGCACGTTGGATGGTATCTATGGAAATGCAAGATGACTGATGTTGTCATGGTGATTGCATCCAACTACTTCTTGGGAGCAATGATGCCCTCCAGTTGTGTCTGTAGGAAAAAGAGAAATGAGAAATTTAATATTTTTTGTAGTGTTGTGTAGTAGTAGACTACTAAATCTGTTTAGTACCCTCTCTCTCAACTATCCATCTGTAGACTGCTGGGGGCAGCATTGAACTATCCATCTGTAGACTGCTGAGGGCAGCACTGAACTATCATCTGTAGACTGCTGAGGGCAGCATTGAATGACACCAAATGAAGTAAAAATGGGTACTCTCTGATGGAGTCATAAAGCTGAATGTTATCTGTTTTTACTGATCATCTACCCTGACTCCACAAGCGTTGCTAACAGCCTATACATGTTATGAACCCTTAGTCCAACTTTAGCATTTGTGGGACGTTTTTGGAGACATTTAAACACCTTTATTTGAGGTTTATAGACAGAGAGTGTTAAGCATTTGGATCCACACGTATGTGTGCCTTTCAAAAGTTTCCATGCATTTAATTTGCTAGAGTATGATGTAGTGTATTACACTCCTTAAGGCAATTTCGTCTACATGTATTGTCTTTATAGTGAACATCACTCGCACAGTCACTGACTCATGTACACACTCATGACCCTCAAAATGATGTTTGAAGTGCAGAGGATTGCTGTATTGCATCTTTGGAGGAGCTTACAATGCAATAAACATGACTTGGTGATCTACAGAAACGCGAGCGTTCTCGATGTGGAGTTAACTTTCTTCATGTGGCAGTTACATGGTTGCATGACAACATTTTCTACACTACGTAACAACTGAATTGCTAATAAACCAATCTTATATGTAAAAAAACAATTTTACAACTTGGCTTTCTGCAAAAGTTGCAAAGTGGTTGACAAGAGTTTTCCTTGTCAGGACCGAGAAATCGTGACCCACCAGTCCAATAGAAGGCTTATGAATTGTTTATGTAAATGTATTATATGGAAACGGATACAATTTAAACATGAACCATGTAAACTCCACTGCTTTCTCTACCTGTAGCTATTAACAATTAACATTATTTTGGTGAGAATTTTTCAGATGTTTGAAACTGGTTTGGGGGTATTTGGTCATAATTTCCATCAAACTTATAAGCATATTTTATAGCCTGTATCTGCTTCACGCACCTGCATGCAAATAAAAGTTATTCTATTGTATTTATGTAAATGTATTATATTTATGCTAAGTATGTTGTTTGCTATGCTCCATGTTTTCAGTCTCTTTGGAAAGAAGAGAAGTGCGATTCCCACAAAGTTGCACTTAACGGTGAAAATTTGACCCTTGGCCCAATTTCATAAAGCTGCCAAGCAGATGATACTGCTTAGGGAAGTTTCTATGCTAAGCAAAGATTGGTTAGGAGCCAAACTACTTATCCAATGCACAGCATTTGGCTGGTAGCCTGTTTTCACTGAGCATTTTTTTCCTACTTTTAGCAATTCCCCATATTGCTCTAGTTATATCTAGTCCCATATGCCATGAACCGGTACTTGCTGGTTTGCTTGACCAAGAACTGGTTTGATCCAGTTTGCTTACCTTCAGTTGCTGATTGGTGCGTTTCAGGAACTGGATTTCTTCAGTGTGTTTCTTCTCCTCCACCTGCCGACGCTCAGCCTCCCGTTTTTCAATGGCATCGCATTTTGCCTTCAGTTCATTGACCTGTCGCTCAAGCTCTCGTTTGTCCTGCTCCAACTCAACAATCTGTATTATAACAAATGACAGCAAAGTACTTAACTGCCTTAAAGTAAGTCAGGTAACTAACTAAACTGCAAACTAATTTATCAGTCAAACTGACTAATTTATCAATTCATAAAATGTTGTGAGTAGAACCTTATCAATTCCCCTTACCCTCAACTCAATTTTCTGGCTATGCCACCAATCATGAAGAACACATGATCGGGAACCTAATTATGGCACACTTTTTTACAGGGTACCTGCAATGGAATGTAATAACAAACCTTCAAAATCCTGTGTGTCTCAGTTTCACCTCATATTCAATTTTCTTTTCATCATATCAAAAGAGTATTTTACTGCCTTTTTGGTTTAATGCTGAGGTTTTTCCATATTCAAAAGCAAAACTGTGATGTCATCCTTGGGAGAAAGACTAAATGTTACATTGGTTTGTACACAAAAAAAGTCTACATTTTTTCTGTTGGCAATTCACTAATTTGTTTACTAATACTTAATTTACTAATATAAAACAAGCATTTCAGCAAGCAAATACTGGCTTCACAATTTGAACAGAAAAACATATGCAGTGAGTCATGTCTTCTCTTGATGACTTCACAGCAACAGTGCCCTCAATTGTCCAGGAAAGCATGCAAAATTTTAACTGTTTGAAAAACTCAAATTTTCAATGTATTATAAAGGAATAGGGATGTACATATAACATAGTTTTAACACATGGAAAAATGCAGAAAGTTGCTGAAAAATTGCGTGAAAGAAAAGCGAATCATTACAGATACACTTTAAGAAAGAAATTATTATTAGCACTGGCAATTGAAGAATTTTCATTTTTGAAGGGATAAGTCAGGAAATGGGGCATCAAAAGAGATAGACTCTGTAGACTGACCTTTTTCTCCATATCTGATTTGCCCTGTTCGGCCTGCAGTGCCTTACGCATGCCAAATGCCACACTGCTCTCATACAAGGTCTGGTAGGCAGCAATGGTCATGCGGATCTCATCACGAACACGCAGCAACAGAAGGCCTCGCTCAGCACACTCAATGGTCACCTGACGAATCAATTCATCTGTGATTGGTAGAAATGATCATTGATAGGTAGCTAAGCTTCCAACACAGTACACTGGAGAACAATAAATACCCCTCCCCCAAATGAAAAGGTAATCTTTATGATGGTTTCAAGTCGTACAGTGTATTGTAATAAAGAGACATTTTAGTTATGACATAAGCACTGTATTAAACTGCATGGTCTGTGTTATGAAAAGATTCAGATATGGAATGATTTGGGAACTTTTACGAACCCTTGATTCATTGCTGACTTTTAGCATTATGTTCCAGTTGTATAATAGTTCTACCATCCAGACTAAGGCTAAATATTAGGCTTATTTTCTGCAAGTGAACATTACTTCTTAATGAAAGAGGTCAAAGGTTAGTGTTTGTGATCACTGTGCTCCAGCATCCAAGGCTCTTTAATCTTTCTAGAGTGGTAGATGAGACAGAAACAGGACATGAACTCAAGATGTGCAACATAGCCCAGGATGAGTTAACTTACCAAAACACTGTGAGTACAGCTCCCTACGAACCGGGCAAATGCCCGTCTCTCTGGCCTGTCGTTGCTGCAGTCTGGTGTCTAACTGCTCCTGAAGGTTGACCACATCCAGTCTGGTGGCTGGAGTGCTGGATACTTGCTGTACCCACAGCTGACCATTGTCCGTCCACTCCCTGAACAATATTTATCACTACATGTAAATGCGTTACACTGCAATTCACATGGGCCACAAATAAGTTCAATTCTTTTTTCTTGTCTTTGGGAAGGGATACTGTGAGTGCAATGAAACTGTGACCTTGATGATCAATAGAGCTCTTTGTAAATACTTTGGTTTGGAAAAATCTATGGAGTTTTGTTAAGTTGAAATAATGGCACCTAATGTACAATTCAGACTACCAACATAGTATTCAGACTCTTTAATAAATGAAAACCTTAAGCCTCAACTAAAAATCCTTATTGTCCTTAATTTTCCCATATATGAGTTTTCAGCTTGTAAAATTTTGGCAATGTTGGTGTTAAAGCTTAGAGGCACTGATGGCCAACTTGAGAATATACCTTGGGGGCAAGATGGAGTTTAAGATCTCATCGGTCTGTTGGGCTTTCTGCGCTTCCACAGGGGGCAATTTGCTACCTCCCTTAGGGGGAGGGTTTGGCACAGGCCCAGCATTGGTTGGTGGCTGGGGGCTGGTTCTCAAAGCTCGTGCCTGATGGGAGAAAAAGGGACGTGAAAAAAGGTCACTGTCATCATATCCTGTCAATTATGTCAACTGCAAACTTCTGGTGTGATTTGTGTCTTCCAACACATGAAAATATACTTTTACTAGTCAGTGTAAAGTGGAAACCAATGTAAAAAAATAACAAAAGAAAAGGAATCCCATCCCATTGGCATTGCTTTTGAGAAATTTGATCAAAATTTTGAAGTCAGTTAAAAAAAAGCAACCAAGGATTTAAGTAGTTTTGGGAATTCAACATTATTTTTTTCATTGGAGGTGTACGTACATGTAAGCCTATTTGAATCTTAAATATAAATGTTGGATTATTGTGGAGCTTTTAACTGTTTCCCAAGTTTCCAGGCACCAAAACTTAACATGACTATCAATGTTCACCTGCATGCACTGATTGACTTTAGTTTCGATTTTTTTGAAAACCCCTCAATTTCTTTAAAATTTGTGCAAATTCGTTTTTTTTCTTACAATTTGAAGTTTGAGCTAAACATATTCCCTGAAAAGAACAATGCACCATTCAACATATGCCTTCTCAGAGAATCAAGCTGTTCACATGCCTGTGCTGGACCCTATCACTATCTGTATCAGTGACCATTCGATTTGAACAGCCTAGCCAAGACTGAGCTACAGCAATAAACAATCTCTCAACTTACCCTTGGGGTTTTCTTGTCTGTATTTCGACTAACCAGGACAGGAGTATCATATCTTACAAGTGAAGCGTTTGGGGGAATCATTATTGAATTAGAATATGTATAATCACACAGAATCAAGACTTTACTTTAATAGGAAATATCCAGTCAAACCCAGATTTAATCCGAAAAATGAAGTTGTTGTATGGCAGGTTCCATGGAAACTTCCGTATGCGCATGCGTAGGTTCCGAGTATGGGAATTTTTCCCAGCATTCAGTGCTCTTATTGGACAAGATGGCGGCCGCCATTTCATGGGAAGGTAATGTCTGAAGTGATAAATGTTTTCCCTTTGAAATTAGTCTTAACGTTGGCTAGTCTGAATCACGGTACAGTCAGATGTCATATAGAGCGGACTTTTTATTGAAAAACTGCACCACTTTGTAATATCTGTATTTAAGTGGCGGTAAATGCGTCTTAAAGTTGCCGGTATTGTTACCATTCATCATCCTGAACTAGCCCAGGTGGACTCCCTGACTGTTGCGTTTCGGAGGGAGACCAGCATGTCCAGGGTATAAAAGGTGCAAAATTGGGCGAAAAATTTGATAACTAAAATTTGCAACATTTCTACCTTCTCCAAGGAGCCAATTTCACGTCTGTAACTCCTGTGCGTCCTTATCTCCACAGCTGGTGGGTTAAGAAATTCAACACAACGGGAAAATAAATTCGGATGTAATGTTAATTCTTGCCATTGTTGTGGACTGTTTTTAGCCGTTCTCCTGTGCAGTTCGTAGATTGATTGCTATTTACTGCACGTGTGCATGCCAGTACTGCCTCTGCATACTGTGTTCCGAATCAGTATAGCATCGCTGTCGCCTATCATGATCATTATGCCTGCAATGTAATCTTCTTTTTATTCTTCAATTGTCAAGATAAGTTACTGTTTCATTTTAATAAAAATCGGATCTCTACAATATTGTGTATTTATACATCTTTAACCAATAAAACTCTACGAACAAATTAAGCAGGTTAAACACTTCAAAGAGAGATTGTTGATGAACTTCTTCCTGTACAAGAACCCTGCACATACAGAGCCTTCTACGCTAACCGAGGTTATTCTTATAAAATAGCAGCTTGTGTCGCAAATTAATGTTTATAAACCAAAAATTAAAGCAGAACAAAATATGAACAGTGTAGGGGTAACCAATAGTGGGTTTATTGGTCAGTCTGAAGCCCCTGATCCGGCAACAACAGAACTGCATTTTCTATATCGTCTCGACGGCAGGCGGGTTAAAGCCGGGTACCAGTCACAGCCACCGTGTAGCAGGCGAGCAACAGACCTCCACTGGTAATCAAGCACTCATAGTGCATGCATGCAGCTCGGATTCCTGCACTGTATGTGCGTGCACTTTACAACTAGACTCAAGAACGGATGAATTGCATTTACAAAAGTAACATTTTCTCTCACTTATTTTACTTTATTTTGCCGTCCATGGTTTGTTTTGAGATTCTTAAACCCCCGGGACAGATAGATAAGGTCTCGAAGAATTTGTAAACGTGAAAAGTTATTTTCTTCAACAAGGTAAACTAAGAACAAATTAGAACCAATTTTGTGGTCGTTTTGTACACAACTTTTATACCCTGGACGTCAATCGTAATGTAATGAAGACAATGTCCAACCTGGGCTACATCAGGAATTAGCTCTACTGAGTGCAGCGTTAGTATTCCTCTTTGTATGATTTTGGACGGGATCGTCATACTAACGCTCCACGCTTGTACATAGAGTAAGGTGAAAACGGTTCTCAAAAATTCCAAAGACTTACCAAAAATACCTCTATCACCACCTACTGGCTTCCGTAAATGCCAATGTCTAACAGTTGGGGCTTCAATGATGTTTCTGACTTCAAAATCTGTCAAAATCCGACTGTTTTGCATGGCACACTCACAGCACTTAAACTTTTCACCGCCCATACCTTTGCAGTAACTATGGGCGAAACATGGTCCTCCCAGAAACACGCATGAGTGGCCTATACATGTACGTGGTCTGGCACAAGATTTGTTAATCTTGTTGGGAGTGCTGCCAATGACTGTTTCCTGGTCAATACGTCTTGTGCCCCAACTACATTTGGGCCCCTCCTGCGGTTTCGTTAGAGGACCATGCTCGCCCATAGGGGAAACCGTGGTTGGTAGCACCTTCAACTGTCACGATCAACAAGTTTTCTGGGTTTTCAACTGTGAAAAATTGGCATTTTTTCAAGTGGCATTTTGAAGGCTTTCCGTGACATCTACAAGAAACTAAGTAACATTTTTGGAAAAAAAATTGGATCAGAATTTCTTAGAAAGAATGAGGTTTAGATTGTGAATGTGGGAGCATTTGACTGCAGAGCAATGAAATGCATCATGATTTTCCGAATGGCCACCCCCAGGCCATGGTGGTGGACCTTGCGTGCACGGTGGTCGGTAAACATAACGGTCCGTTTGTGATAGCTTAGTATGTGCCACAGGCTGTACACATGGAGATACGGACTGCCTTTTGTGAGTTTTCTCCGTGGTTATCGTGCGTTCATGTTTTTTTTCTTCAAAGAAATAACATGTATTGATCATGCTTTTCAGAACCTTTCTGACTTTCTCCTCTCAACATCAATTTTAAAAAGTACATTCAGACACAGAGTTATTGGGTTTGAGAGATATTTGGACAACTAAGCAGCTAGACATGTACATGACATATATTTGTGAACTTCTGACTTAATGATAAATTTCAATGCCTTGCATCTAAGCCTGGCATGCCTGACCTTCATACTGTTATATTTCATATACATGTATTTCAAAAGTTTGAGAAATTATGGGTATTGTAATAATGTTGACAGCAATAGGCTGTTATTTATTTTTGGGGGGGGGGTGGAGGACATCATACACTTACCTGTAAGTTGAGTGGAAGTTTCCCTCTGCTCAAAATTGTCCAACTTTTCTCTCAGAGTTTGATCATAATTGTGATTGACTGGGACAGTAGTTAATTCAAAATGTCTCCTTCAAATTCTTCACTACAAAAATGTTTACAAATTGTGTTAAACTTATTTACATAGGCCTACATGTAATGAAATAAAACACTCAATGCACATTGCATCAGCAAAATACTAGATGTATTTTGACCAGTGTAATGCAGATCATTCACTGAGGAATTGCTGAACTTTCTGCGCCAATATTAACTTTTGTTTTGCTTGAATTACCAAAGCAAATGACAATGACTTAATAGAAAGATCTTTTTTGGAGGGAGGCAATCACACTTTGTCGCAAGAAATTAAAAAAATAGAACTTTGCAACAGCTGCCAACCAAGTTTTTTGTAATGTAAGCAAATTTGTAAATGAAACTTTTATGTAATAAGTCAGTAGAATATAGCACTTAGTTTACTTTTAAATCTGTCATTTTCTATGGGAAATTGATCGTGAAAAGTTCAGGAAATGCTCTAGAATAAATGAATAAAAATAATTTTTTTTCTGCTCAAACTGCAACAGAAACACAAAGAAATTATTTCTAATTCAAGAGACAGCAACTGGCAGATTTGTCAGTAGCAGGGCACTGATACCCTGTACAATGACGTTTGCAGTGTATGTGCGTAAATTTCATTTGTATGGTGATTGGTGATGTAAAATTTACTACAGCCAATTTACTACAGCCGATGTTCTTGTCGCTTCAGTCACGCCCTGTGTTCTTTAAAATATTATTCAATTCAGGATTTTAGTCCAACTTTTATCTAGTGCAAGTGAAGCAATAAAAACTTTAGTTTATTTAAGTGCAAATTTGGTCAAGTACTAAGTGTGTGAAGTATGGCAACTTATGAATACTTGTTAGCAGCAACTCCTGTGTCCTTCCTCTATGATATAACTGAGTGAGTTTTAATTTTTTTCAACAAAGAAGTGTGGCCATACTGCATGAGAACAGTTGAGGGAAACTCAAGCATCAAGGTGCACCATGTTAGGACTCAACTATAGGCCTAGGTCTTATTTCTGTTATTGGTCTTTCTTTGAGAATTATGTTGTTTGTTCTCAAGTTTCATACCGATTGCTTAAAGTGGGCACCTGGCAAGGCCAAATGTGGCTCTTTAGTCAAGAATCCCCCAAAGTGGCACTAATATAACTGATTTTGGAAACCAAACCAAGTCTACAGGCAGATTAAGTGTAACAAGGTTAACAGTTTTGTAATGAAACTCATTAGTCATTGATTTATGTATGATATGTGTAGATGCAAGGGAGTTGTTGAAAAAATGGAGAGAGGAGAATGCAAGGCGGAGTGCAGAGACGTTAGAGCTGGGGGAGTTTGTTCTGACAAACTACAAAAGACTTGGTGATGAAGGTAATTCTAGAAATATAAGGGAAGGAGTCAAAGAGGATCATTACATGTAGTTATTATCAATTAATAATCATTTCTGGTAATGACACCAAGGATTCCTCAAAAGTGCCCCTGGCACTTTAGCTCGTAAGCCTGAAGAAACCTGTAGAGAGGAGACAAAGAGAAGCAGTTACAGTTTTAGAGGTGGGAGGAAAACCCCAGAGGAATATTCTGGGTAAAACCCACAGAATCAGGTAGGGAATGAAAACCCAATCCACATGTGAATCGGGCCGGGATTTGAACCCGGACCGCAGAGGTGGATGGCGAGGAAAGAACCACTTCACCAACCTGACATCCCTAAGAAACATTCTAAGTTCAGATCTGAAAATTTGTGCTGAAACTGGCCTGTATTATGAAGAAATTCTTGTCTACAATTTAATTACTAAATTGTTTCATTTGATAGTTTGGGCAGTCCACGAGCAAGTCTGCATTGCTGCCTTAGATGTAGGTGACATAGAAGAGGCATCACTCTCTATCAATGCATTGAAAAAACAATTCTCAAAGAGCACAAGGGTGAAGAGATTACAAGGCATGAAACTGGAAGCACAAGGAAGGTAAGCGGGAAATTAACTGGACCAGTAATAGTTATATTCTAGTTGAACGAGGCTGCAGGTAATCAGCCTACAGTGCACAGCAGTATTCTGTGTGTGTGTGTTTTCATGGACAATATGGAATCGCCTTATTAAGTGAAATGGACTCTTTGTTTGGGGCACATGCCTGCTTTGATTGTTTTACATAACATGGCTTCTTTTTTGACCAGTTCCAAGTTGTACATTCTAGCTAAAAGAGAACATTTCTTGCAGGTTTGATGATGCCAAACTAGTTTATGAAGAATTGTTAAAAGAAGACCCTTCCAATGCTGTAAGTGCCTGCTCTTTGCTTTGACTATTTGGTTCAGACTATGAAACAAGGAAACACTGAAGAAGTTATGCTGAGTTAATTTCAATGGACCAAATAGAACAGACTGGAGTAGGATGTGAATCTGTAACCTCTAGCATGGTGTGCACAGCAGGCTAACCACATATATGTGCTAAGCACAGAGAAATTCTTGCATAGCAAAAACAGGTCACCGGCTGAAATGTGAATTCTTTACTTCATGTGAATGGTTCCCTGCCAACTGTTACTTGGCACATAAATCTGCTTAGCTTTAATTTTGTACAAAAAAGCTACAGGGTGTGTTGGGGGCGTCCAATAACAAAAGAAGCTCGCCAACAAATTCGTAAGTTTTATGCATTATCCTTCAGATGATAAAGAAAAGGATGATATCTATCTTCAAAGCACAAGACAGAATACCAGAGGCTATTAAGGAGCTCAACAAATATCTGGAAAGGTGAGTGAACTCTTCATTAATCCACCTGGATTGAACCTACATGGATATCATTTTAAATGTTGTGGCTTATTTCATTAATTACATGGAGTAACCAGCAAATACCACTAACAGATGTATTTGTCTGAATGTATTTAAAAAAAAAGATTGAGATCAAGGTAGTAACATCATATTTTTCAATGTTAATATTTAAAGTTGTTTTTTTTTCTGTGGCATTTAACTTGCCTTCTCTTTCTTCTCCTTCTGTTTGCTTCGGCAGTTTTATGGCAGATCATGAGGCATGGTTAGAGTTGTCAGAGTTGTACATACAGGAACAAAAGTAAGTGAACATTTTGTTGTTAACTGGCTTAAATTGAACAATATGATATTGACGACCAAACATTCTCATTTATATGAGGCAAAAGCACCCCCTCATCAGTTGCAAAGAGCAATGCTGGTCAGGAGTGTTCGTTTTGTTGGTAGCGATGCGATCGTAATGCGTGCATTTCTCAGAGTAGTTGTTTGTGAACCAGTAAAGTGCAGCTCCCACCAAAGGAGTCTGCGTTGCTAGGAAAATTGCACCCTCTCTTGGTCCAGTTCAGGGCTCATAACACCTCTTTGGTTGTCCCAAAGGGACTTTTGTAAATAGGGAATGCTTAATTAGATGATTGAAAATGATTGATTTGGTTCAAATTAAAAACAGATTTTTATCTGAATAAAAACTTTATGTGTGTGCAAGTTTTATCCTTTTAACAAATTTGACACAAGTATTTGTCCCGTTTTTCTGCAGTTATAGCAAAGCGGCATTTTGTTTGGAGGAGTTAATTATGTCAAATCCACACAATCATCTCTACCATCAAAGATACGCTGAGGTAATGGGTCGTATGAATAAAAACTAGCAAATGCTATGAAGTTCAAGCAAACATCAAAAGCATTTACTGAGAAGTTAAAGCATTAAGAATAAGCGAATACTTAAATTTGTACAAATAAAATTTTTCTTCTTCTATTCAGCATCTACTAGTATAAATATTACAAAGAAGGTTTTATGCACATGGCTGACTACACAGCCGAATGGTTTTGCGCAACAGGGCTTCCATTGTCTGCACCTGCAGACACACACAGTGCAGCATGGTGCTGTATCTTGAGACCTCAGCATGGCAGATAAGCAGAATGGCAGTAATTATGATTGCAAAAACCGTGATGGAAAAAATTGCTCTGCAACTCTCAAATCGGTACGACTGCCTGCATCTGGTTTCCTGAGATTCCCTCTGAAAGGCATACAGCTTTTCCTTTCAAATGACATTCGTGAATGCTGCCATTTCGAACATTACTAAGTGCTCCTCGTTTTCAAGCTTGCCCTGACCCAGTCTTGAAAAATGTCAAGTAAATACTCCAATTCTGTAGAAATTACTCATTTTATTCATACAAAATGAAGCAACTGCTTATTGTCAAGCACAAGCTTAAAGAGTAAAAAGTAAATACTTTTACCTTTTAGCAATTGCACTAAAGTAAAAGCTTTTGCTTCGTTGTTATTCATACAAACACGAGTAAATGCTTCAAAAATGGTAGTAAAAGCAAATGCTACTTTTTATTCATACGACCCAATGTCATCATTTCAAACAGATCTGTGGTCAGCTTCAATTGTATACCTAGCTTGATGGATCAGTTGAAAATGACTCCGTCTTGACCAAATAGTAACATTGGGGAATTTGTCTCCATTTTTTCTACCATAAATGGGAGCTGAAGTAGTAATGAAATGTTAGCAGGAGTAAAAAACACGAGCTGTCAAAAGTTGGTTAATCAATTATTAAATATGGGCAAATTTTAAAGCCCTGTATTAAAAGTTGGTGATTTTGGATATTCCTACATTTTCAAATTCACAGTTAAAGAGAAATAATCCAGGGAGCATGGATATTCATTTTCAATACATATGTAATTGATATTTCCTTGCATCTTTCAAGATTCGCTACACTCAGGGAGGCACTGAATCGATGGAAATTGCCAGGAAATATTTTTCTCAGGCTGTAAAGCTGAACAGTAACAACATCAGGGCACTATACGGCTTGTTTCTGGTGAGTTAAGGGGTGAATGGTAAACAGTATCGGGGCTCAAAATTAGTGGGCGCAGGTAGCTAAAACGCGCCCATTTGTCTCATAAATGTGCCCCTAAATTATAAAGAAAAGCGCAAGTGCTAGCGCAGGTTTGTTTCTATTCATGCCACAAAAAATACCTAAACCTTTCTACTTCAGATCACCCTTCTCATGGAACCACAACACAAGTACAATTTTTTTACGATGTCAGCGAGCGTGGCAGGCTCACATGCATGCACATACGCACACACCACGTGCCACACGCAGCCAGTGTCATGATATTACTGCTGTCGTGCACAGGCCATATCACTTGACTATGGCTAGAATTTACACAGGATTCTATGGGAACTGGCCGTGGCTACTGCCTATTGCAGTTAGTTCCCTTTTTAGGTGTGTGCTCATGTACATGGTTTAGGTCCAGTGCCCAACTGTTGGCGTCGCTTAGCACGTTTGGGGTTGGTCATGCACACTATATCGTGCAAGCCACTGGACTTTTATCAATTGCAAGTTAGCTTTTTTTCATTTTGTCACTTTGTATTAAATTGTTTAATTTTCTAGAAAATACATGTATATGTTTAATGGCATATGGGAGCAATTTGCTTGTATGGTGATTAGCCCAATATCAAGCCCTGAGTATGATTATCAGGGCATTGTACAGCGTGTTTGTGGTGAGTTGTGGGGTGAATGGTGAATAGCAACAACATCAGGGCACTGTACGGCTTGTTTGTGGTGAGTTGTGGGGTGAATGGTGAATAGCAACAACATCAGGGCACTGTACGGCTTGTTTGTGGTGAGTTGTGGGGTGAATGGTGAATAGCATCAATATCAGGGCACTGTACGGCTTGTTTGTGGTGAGTTGTGGGGTGAATGGTGAATAGCAACAACATCAGGGCACTGTACAGCTTGTTTGTGGTGAGTTGTGGGGTGAATGGTGAACAGTAACAACATCAGGGCACTGTACAGCTTGTTTGTGGTGAGTTGTGGGGTGAATGGTGAATAGCAACAATATCAGGGGACTGTACGGCTTGTTTGTGGTGAGTAGTGGGGTTCATGGTGAATAGCAACAACATCAGGGCACTGTACGGCTTGTTTGTGGTGAGTTGTGGGGTAAATGGTGAATAGTGCCAACGTTAGGGCACTGTGTTGCTTGTTTGTGGTGAGATGTGGGGTGAATGCCGGGGCAAGACTTGTAAAAGCAAACAAGAAAGCCAGTGTATGTTTTACTTTTGGGTGCTTTACTGTAGTTTTTCCCAGTATGATTTATCAGAATTCATAAAACCTGGTTGAAAGATTTGATTTTTCTGAAAGTAAATGTTAACTGGGCTCATTGAATGCTGTTTGTCTTCCTCATGCGTCTTTCAGGCTGCAACTCATTTGGCGTCTTCACAGAAAGCCACCAGCAAGAGTAAAAAGGAGAATATCAGATATGCTGCCTGGGCATCTCAACAATTGCAGCACCGATATCGGGTAAGAATCATGTATTGATTTCATTTGTGCTTTGATTGTCATCATTTGTTAAAAACTAGAATTGTGACAAACTGTTTCTTTCTTTTCAGCTTGCCGAGAGGAAGGAGCCTGAGAGTCAAGTCCAGCATTTGGTGAAGATGATAGATTCATTACAGATCACTGCCTCATAATTTAACAGTAATCTGGTAGAAAGGTTGTTATATAATTGATGTAATTTTGGCAATTTATGTATAGCTTGAATTTTTAACAGATTTTTTTGGTCAGGGATTGTTAGTTCTGAGAAAGATTATTTTGACTTTCCATTTCTCACATTTGGCTTCCTTTGCATCCTTGGAACCACTTGTGGACTTGTAATTTGCAAAAAACTTCAAACTTTGGTTTTGTGTAATACAGTTGGATTTTCCATTAGTACAAAATGGACCCATGTAAGTCAAGACCTATGAATGAATGTGATACCAGAAGCTGAAGTCAGAGAAGCAGAGAAAGCACAGTTTGAGAAATGCACCCAACACTGCAGCACATGCACAACATGAAAGAGCACCTTTAAAGAAAACGTTTTCTCTGATTTTATCCGTTCAAATAAAGCATCCAAATCAAACGCAGTGTCATTTGTCTTCAGAACTCGACTATAACAAGCTTAAAAGGGGTGGTTCTGTTCGTGCCAAGATGCGAATTCTGAATGTAGATTGAGTCATGCATGTAGCTATTGTTTGTAGCCACTGTTTGGCGTGCACAAGGATTTATCCACGATGAACACAGGGCAAGGGTTCCCCTCATGTTCTCTGTATTCTCCAAGTGATGCAATCTACATTCAGAATTCATACTTGGCTTGTTATAGTTGAGCTCTGAAGACAAATGACACTGTGTTTGATTTGGATGCTTCCATATTGATTTGAACAGATAAAATCTGAGAAACATGTTTTCCTTAGAGGTGCTCTTTAAGAGTTTAAACTTGGCATAGAATCTATCTTGGAATGACTTTTCTTGCATCAAACTATACCTACATTACCAGAAACATGCACATCTATAAAAACAATTCAATTTCAAATGGACTGTTCATCAACTTTGTAGACTCACCAGAAAGTAAGCTATCCAGGGATGTGAAGTTTACTTAAGAATCTCAAAATTATAAAAACCGAAGTCTTCACAATTTACATATACATGTATTTGGATAGATTTATGTGACTGTGATCCTTTGTCTTTTTTATACATGCATTGTATTTAATTCTAAGGTTTGTACTTTGTGCATGTGGTCAGTGACAATCAAAACCCACATTATCTTGATCAATAGTTTCTTGGACCGCCAGTTTTCGAGTATATGTAGTCAATTCAATATGAATCTGACTTGTTTTGTTTGAAAAATTTTATTGCATTCTACACACAATACTGTTAATTTTGAAAGATACAGTGCTTTAGTTTGGTTGTTCAAGATTCAGCATCCGATATTTTTATGAGCATGTATTATGCCAGGTTGCATACACGAGGAATAAATGGTATTTGCTATTTCCAATTGACAAAGAAATCTGATTGTATTTGTCATTGAAAACATGGACATCTTTTTGTAATACACATTGTTGGATTATGTAACACATTCAAAAGCTGTTATCAGAAAAGAGAATACAGACAAAATGGAGCTTAAATTGTTTACTTCCCTGGATTTATACATGCGCAGTCTAAAACAACAAGCCAACTGGAGCAAAATGACTGTTTTCACTAAAATGAGGGCCTTCACCCTCG